TCGTCTTGCGCCTGCAGACATTGAGGACGTTCGAAGGCACATAAAATATCTACTTGCAGCAGGTATTATTACAGAATCGAGAAGCCCTTACGCATCTCCCATTGTTATAGCTCGCAAGAAGAATGGGAATGTGAGGATGTGTATTGATTATCGGACACTTAACCAACGAACAATTCCAGACCAGTACACCACCCCAAGGATTGATGATGCCCTTGATTGTCTTGTGCCTGATTGCCTTGATTGGCAGCAAATGGTTCTCTGTCCTTGACCTTCGCAGTGGGTACTACCAGATAAAGATGGCAGAAGAAAGCAAAGAAAATACCGCATTCATTTGTCCGCTGGGGCTCTATCAATTTGAACGCATGCCGCAGGGAATCACAGGAGCTCCAGCGACGTTTCAGCGGTTAATGGAAAGAGCGGTTGGAGACATGCACCTTCTGCAGGTCATTGTATATTTGGATGACATCATTGTATTTGGTCGGACGCTGGAAGAGCATGAAGAGCGACTCCTGAAGGTACTAGATCGCCTGGAAGAGACTGGGTTGAAAGTTTCAATTGACAAATGTCAGTTCTGCCAGACACAAGTTAAGTATGTGGGGCATATTGTTTCTGCTGAAGGAATATCGCCTGATCCTGAAAAGGTAAAAGCAATTACCAGCTGGAAGATGCCGACAGACCTGAAAACCTTAAGATCCTTTCTGGGCTTCTGTGGGTTTTACCACAGGTTCATTAAAAACTATTCTGCCATTGTGAGACCTCTGACAGAGCTGACAAGAGGTTACTTGCCTGCGAAGGGGAAAAAGAAGGTCACTTCTGAAGGGAAGATGTATTTCAGGGAAACTGACCCGTTTGGAGAACGTTGGGATCAAGAGTGCACAAATGCATTTGACAACATTATCTATTGTCTCACTCATGCTCCAGTCTTGGCCTTTGCTGATCCTGAAAAACCCTATGTCCTTCATGTGGATGCCATTTTAAAGGGATTAGGGGCTGTTCTAAATCAAGAATATCCTGGAGGACTTAGACCTGTAGCCTATGCCAGTAGAAAATTGAATGCTGCTGAGAAGCGCTATCCAATTCACCAACTGGAATTTCTTGCGCTGAAATGGGCTGTTGTGGACAAATTCCACGATTATCTGTATGGCGCTAAGTTCTCTGTGCGAACAGATAATAATCCTCTAACATATGTTTTGACGAGTGCTAAGTTGACTGCAACTGGACATAGATGGTTAGCTGCCTTGGCTACCTATGACTTCAGTTTACAGTATAAACCAGGCAAGCATAATTTGGATGCTGACGTGTTATCCCGATACCCGACAGGTGCAGTTGATTTGGATGGATGGAAAGCAGTATCAGAGTCAGCTGTGAAAGCTGTGTGTCAAATGACCAGTTGTTCAGAGATTTCCGTCAGGTTGATTGATCAACTTGGGGTCCCTCCACAGATCATTCCACAGCTATATGTGTGTCCTGTGCAACTTGGCCCTGATCAGATGGCTGGAGTTACATTTGAGGAGTTTAGGAATGCTCAAGAGCAAGACACCGTCATTGGTCTTGTGAAAAAAGCAGTAGAGTCAGGAAGTTTACTTTCCATGCCGAAAAGTTCAGATCCAAATGTGGTATTGATGCAGAGGCAGGAGAAGAAACTAATAATCAAACACCAGCTTCTATATCGGGTGACTAAAAATGACGATGGAAGGGAAAAATCACAGTTGGTGCTGCCTAATACATACCATTTTCAAGTGATGAAGTCTCTGCATGATGATAGTGGACACCTCGGAGTGGAAAAAACAACTGAACTTCTGAAAGATAGGTTCTACTGGCCTAAAATGACGAATGACATTGAGTTGTATGTGAAAAATTGTGGCAGGTATTGCCCGAAAGACTTTGCCTCAGAGATGTTCACCATTAAATCAAATCTCTAGCAATGGGCCCTTAGATTTGGTGTGCATTGACTTTCTTTCAATTGAGCCTGACTCCAGGGGAATCGCAAATGTTCTGATCGTAACTGATCATTTTACCAGATATGCCCAGGCATTTCCTACAAAAGATCAGAAGGCCCTAACTGTTGCCAAAGTTCTATGGGAAAAGTTTTTTGTGCATTATGGTCTACCGGCCAGAATACACTCTGATCAAGGAAGGGACTTTGAAAGTCGTCTGATTAAAGAACTGTTCAGAATGCTGGGTATTCGAAAGTCCCGAACCTCCCCTTACCATCCACAGGGTGATCCTCAGCCTGAAAGGTTTAACAGGACACTGCTGTCTATGTTAGGTACCCTTGATCCAGCTCAAAAGAACTGTTGGAGCCAGCATATTAGTCAGTTGGTGCACGCATACAACTGCACTAAAAATGAGTCAACTGGATACTCCCCATATTACCTCTTGTTTGGACGAGAAGCGAGACTGCCAGTTGATCTGTGTTTTGGCCTGCCACTGGATGAGGAAGCAGGAAAAACTCACTTGCAGTATGTCCAAAGAATGAAAGGTGAACTGCAAAAAGCATACCAGTTGGCTGAAGAAAGATCTCTGAAAAGCCATCAGAGAAATAAACGGTACTATGACAAAAAAGTGAAACATCAGCACTTGGAGAAAGGAGACCGAGTTCTCATTAGGAATCTTGCTCTGACAGGAAAGCACAAGTTGCAGTATAAATGGAAATCTTTACCATAAATCGTGACCGAGCAACTAGAGAACTTACCAGTGTACAAACTAAAACCAGAGACAGGAATGGGAGGGGTGAAAACACTTCATAGGGATCATTTACTGTCCATTGGAGATGATGTGAGATTTCCGAAACCTGATACAGAAAGAGAAGTGATAAAACCTCCAGTTACCCGAGCAAAAACTGCACAGAAAGAGCAGTTAAGAAGAGAGAAAGAAACTGGAAAAGAGATTCCAAGTTTGGAGGTGTCTTCTGAAGATGATGAAGAAAATGGGTACTATTATGCAAATCCTGATTGGATTAGTACATTGACTAAACCATTGTCTTTAGATTTCCCTGAGCCTGTAGTAGTAGAGGAGGAAGCTGTAGGCCGTGGTCCTGAAAAGAATCATCCTCCTGAAGAAATGATGGAAGATAATCCAAGAACAGAGATTGAGGAGGATAATTCCTCCCATGTAATTCCTGGCTCAAGAGAGAACCTGTTAATAGATGTTGAAGAGAGTCAATGTAGACATTCTCCTAGAAAGGAGATAAACACTATGGAAAGCCGTCCAAAGCGAAAGGTGAAACCAGTTGTAAAGCTGAGCTATGATGAGTTGGGAGAGCCTTCAGATCAGCCTTTATCCATTGCTTATGGAGGGATGCTCATACGAGTTGAGGGGCTGTCTCAAAAGAGATATTCTTGTAGCACCGTTTGGTGTCATCCATTTGCACGATGTGCCTGTTGTGAAGAAAAAAACCTCAATATATCCTCACCTACAGTAACTACCAGACATAGTTAAGTCAGCAGTTAATAGCCTCATGAGGTCATGAGATTTTGAGAAGGGGAAGAGTGTAACCTGGGTGAAGTTGAGCATTTGAATGTAGTTTAAGTAGAGTACTTATTTTTTGTTATGTTTGATGTAATTCACGAATCTCAGCATATGTGACTGTTTCTTTAAAATTCAGTTTTGCTATTTTGTTTGGTTGAAATGTACTTGCTGGACAATGTGGTTTTTACAAGCAAGTTTGATCATTTCTTTTGTATTATTGGATAAGGGATTTGCAAAGCCCACCTCCTAGAGAGCTATTCGTGACGGTGATTGGTGGTTGTGAGAAAAAGGGACGAGAGAAATGACAGGCGGAGAGGAGGTGAAAAGAAAAATCCAAATCGGATTGATTTTCCTAGATTGTCGTTTGTTTTGTTTTACTAACCGTTAGTAAGTGATTTGTGACTAATTTACTTTACTGTTTAGGAGTATGGTGTGAAAGACCAATGTTTTGTTGAGTTTGATACAACGTTACTTCAAAACGAAGACAGCATCTTTGAGTTTTGCCGCGATAGGTGAGAGAGAGTGAGATACGATCTCTTGGGACGAGACGGCAGTTTAGCGCTGCGTTTCTGAGGCAATTCGATATAAAGACAGTCATTTTAAAGTATCATGACTAACCAGATAGCGCTCTGAATCACCGTGAGGTTCAGAGTTCCTCTGGCTACGTGGGACACGCGGAGCCACGGACTATTTCACAAGACTGCAGCCAAGAGAGCGAAACACTCGTTTACTGAGCCCAACGGACAGCTTTGGGACTTACAGGTATTATTGATTTTATTTTATTTTTGCTCTTTAGAGTGAAGGGGCCAATTTTGAGTTTGCTTTAAAGGCCACAACGCACACAAGCAACGCTACAGGCCTGCAACGCGGGGGGAAATCGCGCACGTGAGACTGTGTGAAAGAGTGTGTGTGTGTGTGTGTGTGTGTGTGTGTGGGCCCACGATTATTTTATTATAATTTTGGTTCATCGGAGTAAGAGGATCCTTTTGTCATTTGTTGATTTGAAGGGTTAATTTATGTAATTAAAAATCTAACTACATAGGCAATTTTGCCATTTGGAATATTCAAGTGACATTTGTGACATTTCGGGGAGTGTGTTGATACCCTAGGGAAGTTGTAATTCTTCTTATTTGTATATTTTTATTTTCATTCTACATTCAAAGGACTTTTAATACAATTTGTAATTGTTTATTGTGAAAGAACAGATTAATTTCCTTACTTTTGGTTTGTATGTTAAACCGTGGTAGTGGTGTTGTTAAATACTCCTTTTGAGGGTTTTATTTCTGTGCTCCATATCAATAAGAGGTCAGAGTATTGTTAGTTGAGTTTAAAAAGAGTTCCCAAAATTAGTCGAGAGACACAAAATAAAAGAACCCGTGTGATCACTCTAAATATCTCTGAAAAGAAGAACCTTCTGTCTGAGTAGGGTGTTACAGAGATATCTAATATATATCGTCAAAAGGCTAATGCAAAATCGTATGACTTTTGACAAGACAGTTTACATGAGAGAGAAAAAAATTATTTCTTACCATTAAACAGCCGTGTGGGTGAACTGCAGTATCCCCACTTCTGGTCACGGTCAAAGTTGTGTGTTAGAGAACACCTGCAAGTCAAACCAAAAACACAATGATCATGACACACATCTGAATTACTCAAGACTTGCGTAAAGCTCAAACAGACAGAATCTGAAACAGTGGTGCAAATCTGATCTGAATGGGTCATTTACAGCTCTAAAATGTAAATGCCACATTAGACAAAAACCAACATGTACATGTAGCATGAAATTCCCCTAATCGTAATAAACATGAACGAGAATAAGAAAGGTAAAAGAAAACATGTCTACAATAAATATGAGTTTACTTGTAATGAGGATGAACAGTGTCTGCCATCAATAATGTCTTTTGTTAAATATTGGTTGTTGAGTGGATGGAAAAGTTGTCATTATTTATTTACCATAATTTCATTGTCGCATGGAAAAAACGCAGGGAAAAAAGAGAAAGAACAAAGTTCTTTAATAGTCCAAGAGTACATGCAGGAGTAAGGGAGCAAACACTGCACAACAAGCAATACTGGACAAAGAAACACAGGAAACTGAGGGTTTAAATAGACATGGTGATTGACTGAAACAGAACAGGTGTGATGGAACCGAGGGAAATAACTAATGATCAGGGACACATACAAACAGAGCAAACAAAGAGCAAACTAGACTAAGCTGAACATACACGTTACAGTCGTGCCAAACCTATATGCTGTTATTCTTGTCCAGGGAACACAAAGGTAGATATTTCATCACGACTTTGAATTTGTATCATATTGGCCACCATTGTGAAAAATAATTGTGCATAACTAAATTGAATGTGCACTTGTAGTGTACTTCAAATCTTAAAAGTACAGTATTTTTGAAAAAACTACAGATAATAAAATGTCAATAAAATAAAAGGCTACTTAAGTGTACTTGAAGTCCCTGTAAAGGCAATTCTAAAAAAAAATTCTAAACACATTATAAATGTTAGAAATCTATTGCTAAAACACATTACAAAGACTGTGAACTGTGAAGTACTGAATTGTGGAGTTAGACCGTTAAACAGTTTTTCACCATTGCTGTGTTACGGATTTTTTGGCCGGGGCTAAAACGGGGGCTCGATGACACACTGGAGCCCCTGAGCTCCTGGACACGCCCCTACTTGATGACACACTGGAGCCACTGAGGCTGGCCCCTCCCCTAACAATAGAGCACATTCGCATCAGTTCGCCTCTCAATCGCGAGTTAAGCCTAGTTCACACTACATGATTTTAAAACGTCGGGCTGAACTGTGCGGTTCACACTACATGACTTGCTCTCTGTGAAATCAGGAGTGTTCAAGTTGTTGAGCTGTTCACACCACACGACACAACGTGATTGATCCGCAAGAGGAGGTAACGCACTACACGAGTTGACAACAACTCTGTCACCCAACAATTCTATCTTGTCTACAAACCACGTTTTGTCACAAAAAATCACGCGATAAAACGAACCGGAAATGATGCGAAACAGCACGCGCGCTAATACCCAGCGAAGAAGACGAAGACCCATGCCTTGCTCTGATTGGAGCAACCCATGCCTTGCTCTGATTGGCTGTAGCTCATGACATCACTGAGGTTGAGTCGGGCGACAGCTCTGGATATCTAGCATGCTAGATATTTTTCTGGGCTCGGCGACGCGTCTGCGAGGCGTCAGCGAGCGTCTTTGATGCGTTGGTGGTTCTTTCATACTAACATATTGGCGAGTGTCCATCGTCCGCTAATCCCCCGCGATTTGCACGCGATAACACCCTGACCTGTCGGCGAGCTCAACGATTTGCAAATCGGGCTTAAATCGGGCTTATAATCCTGTAGTGTGAACTAGGCTTTACTGTCAGTACTATTAGTAACTACAGCCTACAGTTTGCTTGCTAGCTAGCTATGCAAGCGGCAACCTCCCTGTCTCTCTCTTGAAACCAACACGGAAGTAAATTAAACTGCAATTCATCGACTGGCCGCTTGAGGCTGGCAGCAAAAGTGAGTCAAATCTCTATCTCCCCCATGTTAAAATGCCCAACTTTACAGCAGAACAAAATATGTTTACAGCCTGGAGCAAAAAGTGGTTTTGGTCTATATAGCTAATTTTGCCCGTCATGACAACTGTGAGGGGGGTGAATTTTTGTAACGTGATGATGTAATGCCTGGCGCGTCGCCGACCAGCACAAGACGAACAATTGTGGTTAAAAAGTATATAAATGTTTATTTATTTTTAAAATGACTGATCGTTTCGCTAGATAAGACCCCATTCCTCAACTGGGAACGTGCAGAGCCCTTTGAATCACTTCATAGCCCTTTGAAACTGCATTGATTTGGACTTCAACATGTTGGTTGCAATTGAAGTCCATTGTGTGGAGAAAAATCCTGAAATGTTTTCCTCAAAAAACTTAATTTCTTTTCCACTGAAGAAAGAAAGACATGAACATCTTGGATGGCATTGGGGTGAGTAAATTATCAGGAAATTTTCATTTTGAGGTGAACTAATCCTTTAAAGTTCTGCATAATTAAGGGCGTGGCCACTTGAGTGACAGGTGGATTGCGGCTGCTGTGAGATGGTGCTCGATGCAGAGCCAAATGGAAGGAGCTAGAGCTCGAGCTCCCCCTTTTCTGGAGCTCCAGCTCCACCTCGCTAAATTTAGTGTGGGGGGGGGGGCTTCGCTGCAGCGTCCAATGGGAGGAGCTAGAGCTCTAGCTCACCCTCGCTGGATCTAGTGGACAGAACATGACGCGCTATCAAGCCTGTTAATGTTAGTGCTAGTTAGAAACAAATATTTAATAAAAATAAACTACGTACCACTTGTGGGGGATGGGATATTGCTAATAGAGAATGAGGTGCATTCTGGGAAGGCGCCGCCAATTTAGGTGGTAACGTTATCCGTCGCCATGGTTACTTCGACAGTGAGGCCGAGAGAAATAGCGACAGAGAGAGAAAGAGCATTTTACGATTAAAGTTACGTTTAATTCCGGCTCCTTCTTCCTTGAACTTGAACTTTGTTACAGTTACGTTTGATCACTTAAATTCACATTATATATTTCATTCTAATGAAACAGCCAGAAGTGCTGAATTACTGCTCATACAGCTCACTTTATATTACATATTCAAATTGTGGGGTAACGCAGCGCTGTTCCCTTTCGAGGGAACTCGTAATGCGTCGATGACGCTTTGGGAACGCCCCTGCGTGATTGCATCTGAAGCACATGTGTCAACTAGTCCAAAGGCGAGCGTGAACTAGGAAAGGATAAAAGCACATCCGGTTAAAACCACGCTAGCTTCTGTGCCTCAGCAAGCACTCTATGTCAAAACTGTCTGTCATATTTATTGTTGTCTGTCACGGAACCTCAATATTATATCTAAATGTGTCCAAACAACTGTTCAAGTTGTGTGCTTCTCCCTGCCCTTGTTATCTTACGGGTGGGGATACACACAAACTTTGTGTGATGTGTTTGGGAACAGAGCATGCTCTGTCAGCGTTCAAGCGGGCTGATTGTGAGCATTGTGAGAGGCTGCCGCTTCGCACGCTCTGCTCTCGCTTGTCACTCTTTGAGGAGGGTGTTCAAGTGAGCGTTCCCTGCGGATCGGGCCCCACTGCTGCCGAGACAGCACTGAAGCTCTTGACGTGGGGATCGCAAATGGCGGGGTTTTAGATGGCCCTTTCGGCGGGGTTTTAGATGGCCCGCCCTTTCTCAGCCTTTATCCGTGGGATCCAGTGCTCTCTCTCCGGAGTTGGAAGCCCGCCACACGAGGCACCGGTGCTTTAGCTGTCTAGTTCCGAAGAACCAGATGTGCTGAGCATTGAAATGGGGGAAGAAGAAACGCCAGCTTCTTCCCCAGCGCATGAGGAGCTGGTGGAGGTATTAACCCGAGCTGTGTCTAAGTTGAATATTATATTCATATATAATATATAATGGCCAGCCGAGAAACAAGGAGCTAGTCCCAAAAGCCTTTTAGACGAGCGCTTTCAAACATCTAGCACAATACCTCCACCTAGGGGACTTCTATTTTTTTCCAGATTTACACAAAGAATTATCAAAAACATGGAATAAGCCATATTCATCTAGAGTTTTTAGCCCTCAGGTTCAAGTATACTCCGATATAAAGGGGCTAAATGAATATGGTTATAGGACGATGCCGAAAGTAGAACAACCACTTGCTACCTATCTTTCTCCAGCATCGGCATCGTCCTTGAAGTCCCCAATGCTGCCCACTAAGCCTTTAAAGACATCATCAATGTTAGTGGGTAAAGCATATACGGCAGCAAATCAGGCCGGCACATGCCTTCACACTATGGCTATTTTACAAGCATAGCAGGCTGACCTGCTGAGGGACCTTGAGACTGGCGAGTAGTTCGAGAACTGTGTCGGGCCACCGATCTGTCTCTCCACTCGTGCTATTGGGCGGTTGATGGCAGCTAATGTGGCTTCAGAGAGGCACCTTTGGTTAAATTTGTCAGATATAAAAAGATAAGGACAAATATTTTCAGAAAAATTTCTGACCCTCAAAACTGTGTTCCCATTTCCTCACTAAAAAGAGTTGGAGGTCTTCAGGCCCTTTCGGTATCACCTTCGTGCCTTGAGTTTGCACCCGGGATGGTCAAAGCGTTCCTCTATCCCAAACCTGGATACATACTTAAAGTTCCAACAAATGTACCACGGCCTATTGTACTGCAGGCAGTCTATCCTCCTCCATTTCATGATGTAGACCAGTAGAAACTGAACCTCATCTGTCCAGTCAGAGCACTGTACACTTACGTCCACAGAGCTGCCCAGTTTAGGAAATCTGATCAGTTACTGGTATGCTTTGGGCCTCCTAAAAAAGGCCTTCCGGCATCCAAGTAGACGGTTAGCAAGTGGATAGTCGAGGCTATCTCTCTTGCATATGAGGTTATGGGCCAGCCTTCACCTTTGGCCACTAGAGCCCATTCTACTAGGGGTATGGCGGCATCCAAGGCCCTAATTTCTGGGGTGTCCCTTCAAGAAGTTAGTGATGCAGCTAGCTGGTCTTCGCCACTTACGTTTGTCAGATTTTATGACTTAGACATGGATACCCCTGGGTCTAGAGTTCTCATGTTGTGACAGTTTTCACGGCAGGTTCTTGGCCGTATGGTGTTCGGGCATTCTTGTTCCCAAAACGTCATCGACGTATCGCGAGTTCCCTTGAAAGGGATCGTATCAGGTCACGACTGCAACCCTAGTTCCCTGAGTAGGGAACGAGACGATGCGTCACTTTGCCATACTTCCTACATCCCTGTGATCGACTTGCTTCTGCCCTTTTCTAAGCTAGCGTGGTTCTAACCGGATGTGCTTTTATCCTTTCCTGGTCATATCTAGTTCGTTTCTCCCTCTGTTTGCTGTGTATTTAAGCCCTCTGTTTAATCCTGTATAGTTGTCTGTTAATGTAGCATTTTTTTTCCGGGTTGTTATGTTACCATTTCATAGCCAAGAGTGTTTTGTTTCTAGTTCTTTGTTTAATAAACATTTTATTGTTGCACATAGATCCTGCAATCTTTATTACCTGCAACTGACTGTGACAGTAAGCCAGATCGATATTAAAATATTATATTAATTAAAGCTGGATGATTTGTGTTGCTACATTGCTGATTTCTCTGGATTTAAAGATTATTGTAAACATTTAAGATAATATAAGAACACAAGTCAATAAAATGAATAACATTGTTATATATATTTATATACTTTCATGACTACGTTTAAAAAGTGCACTTTGTATTAATTTGCACTTTGTCGTGATTTAAAGAAGTACACTAATTTTGATGTGTTGATTAACATACTAAAGCACATTTAATTAACTGGGTACTTGATTATAAGTTTGTGTTATTTGATATAGCATTTTAAATTAATATTTTAAATGTACTAACTTGAAACTTCATCATTAAAAATGTGTGATTACAAATAGATTTAAATACAGGAAACAACGTATTCTAAAATGTACTTGTTCACCACGGTCAAGTCCAAAACGGACAAAAAAGCACAATATAAGTAGCCCATTTAACACATGTCTGCTATAACAGATTTTCTGAGCTTTTGCGTAATGTAGCAGACTGACCAAAAAACCCAGAATTTAACAGAATTGAACAACATACCTTTGCTACAGCTATCTATACAGCTTATGAGGCATGTGACTTGCCTTTGGTTGTGAGAGCCCAATCTACTATGAGTATGGCAGCTTCAAAAGTTTTACTGTCAGGAGTTTGTGATTTTACAGGAGTTGTCTTCCCCGGACACATTTATAAGATTTTATAGCCTGGACTATACACCAGGGTCTCAAGTGCTCTTGTTCTAATGACGCTTTTCCACTGCTGGTACGGCTCAGTACGTTTCGGCTCGGCACGGCACGGTTCGGCTCGCTTCGCTTTTCCACTGCGTGGTACGACTCGACTCGGCTCGGCTTGGCTCGGCTCGGTTCGCTTTAGCACGGTTTACTTTTCCACTGCAGTTAGTACCGCTTCAAAGTGGGTGGGATTATAGACTGATCGTTTTAGTTTATCCGCTCCTCGGCAACCAACGAGAGGAATGTCTGCACTTCGTCCACTGACCACGATTCAGCCATTTCTTTATTGGAAGTTTTTTTTTCTTCTTTTTCTTCAAGCAAGTCAAGCAAGTAGTTTTAAAACAGGTGCTACAACGGTGGCTGTTACTGGCTATTTAAATCTAACAGGTTTGATGTCTCGCAAATACAATGACGCTGGTAGTGACGATTCTGTCTGACCAATCAGTGATCTGCGGTGTTTTCACATTTTAGTATTGGTACGGTACGCTTGGAACCTCAACAGAGGTGGTACCATTTAAAGCGAGCCGAAGCGAGCCGCACCGTACAGTACCATGCAGTGGAAAAGCGCCACAAAGTGAGACGTACCGAGCCGAGCCGGTAGTACCATGCAGTGGAAAAGCGCCAAACCGTGCCGTACCGAACCGTGCCGTACTGTACCATGCAGTGGAAAAGCACTATAAGTTGTGCCTGAAGAGCTTCACACAATGACAGCCATTTGTCAGTATGGCGCAGTGGGTATTTCATTCCCCATAGCGTCAACATCAGATGCAGTGTGGAGTTCCCTCGAAAGGGAACATCTCAAGGTTCCCTCAAAAAAGGGATTGAGATGTTGCATCGCTCTGCCATACGTCCTGCATGCCTTTGAATTGCTTGCTTCAGCCAACCAGAAGCTAACGTTGCTTTGTTCCGGGTATCTTTATACCTTCCATGGTACTCCATCACTAAATGGCAATAAATGGTGAATAAAGTGCATAACGATTCTTCAAAATTCTCCTTTGGCGTTCCACAGAAAGAAATTATAGCACATGGGTTTGGAAGAAAATGAAAGTACATAAACTGGCAGATTTTTCAGTTTTTGGCCTTGCTTGAAGCAAATCCACTGTGTCTCACAACACTCAGCCACAAGCTAATTTTTATGGAGTAAAACTCACTCAAGAGTTGCTCCATATGGAGATCTGCACACACTTGTTCAGCTGCAATGACATTAATAGCCGTTCCGCCTCCTTGATCTTTCATCACGGCCCTGATCTCTCGGCCTGATAAAACTCACTCTTTCTCAATGTTTATAACGGTTTATCACATCGGTATGTGTAGTCATCTGCTCCACTCACTGACAGAGGAAACATAAAGAGCAGCGGAGATGGGGTTAGCAGAGTCACTGGGTTTGGTAAAGGTTACTCAAGATGAAGATGAGTTTGCACTTACAGATTATATACGAATTAGGGCTGGGTTATGAGTTTTGGTTGATGGTACAATGTAGTTTAAACTCGTTCAGGATGTAGGTTTGGATTCGTAAGGAGATGGCTATGGGTTGGCTAAGTAACTGGTTTAAGATGGGTAACTATCAGGGCGTAGTTGTTTAAAATAAATTAAGGTAATACTTCACAGTAGGCCTTATTTGTTAGGTAAGGGATAATGTACATCCAGTCAGTTGTTATAGCAGAATAAACTGATAAGGTGATCAGAACCCTGAGGCGAAGCTGAGGGGTTTATACTGCGAAAACAACCGGCTGGATGTACATTATCCTGCTTATTACATGGCTACTTGCCACATAAGTAGATAATTAGACACAAAATATTTACTTGAGTTTAAATATTTTATTAGGTTTTTAAATGCAAAGCTTCCGTGAAGAAGGCAGTTGCACGTACAAACTAGACAGACATTTAAGGGATAAGGTACAATCATAACACTTATTACACAGCATTTCACCACATAAATAATTATGGGAATACGAGATATTGATTTGAAATTAAACTGTTTTAAAATCTTACCTGTTTGTTATCTCATAATCCATTACAGCGTAGAAAACAATCGTTGCAAAATTGGTGGCAGCTGCACTTGTACGAAACAAGAGAGCAAGTCTGTGATACCCGGATGACATAATTAAATAATTGTACAGAAAATTTTGGTTTAAGTTTTATATTTTATTAGCTCACCAAACGCAAACCTTTCACGAAGAAATACCGCTCCTAGCAAGCATATATAGCTGACTTTATTTACCCGGATGAGCCTGCGTTATCAGTTTTTACCGGCTGTTATCGGGGAATAACATACATATCGGGGATGTTAGTTAATAAAAATACACTTTCATCATTGATTGTTCGTGTTAGTTCACAGTGCATTCACTAATGTTAGTAAATATTGTGATTAACATGAACTAAGATTAATAAATGCTGTAGAAGTATTATTCATTACAAGATGTTAACTAATGTAGTTAACTAATGTTAACAAATTAAACCTTATTGTTAAGTTGATTGGATTTCGGCTATCGAATTGCATAAAATCTTGAAAATGGATTGTTCAAAAGAAAGAAAGAAAAAATATTCTGAAATTGAATTGGATCATGTAATCCAGTCTTGTTTTCGATTGGTTTTGCCTTTCAAAACTTTCAGTAGGATTGGGATAACTTTGATCCAAACAATCATGATTATATTGATCCCATCAGATGGGGTGTATTCCGTGTGGATTTCAGAAACAAAATGCAATTAAATTTAAAAATTGGTTCTCATTTGAACTGGTTAAGGATGTGTGTTTAAACTGTAACCAGCTCAAACCAGATCTTTAGTTATCCCAAACCAAGATACTAACTTAGCACATACCAGATCCTCAGAAGTTACGTTTTAGACCTACGATTGATCTCAGTGATTACAGGTTATGCCGATTTGTTGGTCAAATCTGTAGAATGGTACAAATCATGGAGCTGAGTGTACTACACTATTATTGGTAACCGAACAGATCAAATTAGCCAAACTCTTTAAAAAAAATAAACGCATTCTATGCATGCAGATTCTTTGTGGATCTGGTTACAATTTAGGCATCTGGGTTTGAGTTGTTGTATTGGGGTTTGAGATCACTTTGGCATTTAGGCTTCTAAAGTTAAATTAAGAGTTGAGGTTTGATGGTCAGTGGATTGAGGGTTATTTCTGAATGGTTGATGGGCACTGAATGTGTACATGGTATGCATGTGTGTTAGCACTTACCAGGCCTGCTTAGAGTTCTTAGAGATACACTGGTGATAAATCGTCCCACCAAAGCGAAAAGGAAACTTGCACTCTTTGCCATCTGTTGTGAGAACTAAAACACACACACACATCCAAACCCATGAAGCAACAGTAATTAGAAACAGAAACTATGAGGACTGATATCAATTAAAGAGCAGTTCATACCTTTCTGAGTTACAGTATTAGACTGTCCAGACACAAAAATTTCAATACCAGGTGGCTGCTTGCGCTTTAAAAGAGAGAGAAGGAGAGAGAGAGAGAGAGAGAGAGAGAGAGAGAGAGAGAGAGAGAGAGAGAGAGAGAGAGAGAGAGAGAGAGAGAGAGAGAGAGAGATTTTCCATATGTAGGCTATCCCAAATAAGTAACTTGCATTCAGCAAAACTCATATGGGACACTCACCGATCTAGCACACTGCAAACGGGGCAATAAAATAAGACATGACAGCAGCAGAAGAACAAACTCTCGACGAGTCAGAACTGGAGAAAACACAGAAGAATCCAAGCACGAAATTTGTGAACGAGGTGTTCTCCGCATGGCAGATCTTTGGACAAATTTCACCGGGAATGAAATCAATAAACTCAGAGTTTCCGTCCCAAACGCAAAGTGTCATCTGTAGGATTCCTTCATTATATCCCGGGGCGATGGATGCGTGAAAGCTCACCGCAGGAAAAGCCTCTTCAAGGGAGTTCCCACGAGAAAAGCCTGTGATTACACCTGGCGAAGTGGCCAGACCCAGCCCAGCACGAGCCTGTGATGTAATACCGATCCTCATGCTTTGATTTAGGGGTTGTTGTCAGTGACAACGGAATCCACCCACAAGTGATGTTGCGCTGCGAGAGGCACGCGGAAAACCTGATGAGAGTTTTTGCGCGTCAGCGCTGCACTAACGCGGCGCGGATGAATGCAGTTAATCATTCATAGACCGAAACTACCTTCAGAGTGAAAGGTTGGAATTCCTCCGCATTTGTGAAGCTGAAAACATTAAAAATAAGAGCCATTCACGAGAAAAATAATATATTAGTAGGGTATAGGCCTAGTAGTAATATAATAATAATTAGAAGAAGAAGAAGAAGAAAATATAGTAGCCTAGCCTATGAGCTAAATAGGAGCAACATTAGAAACTTTCCACATCAGAATGAGCTAAAATAGGCCAATTAATAACCTAATAAGCTAATCACGTAATTGATGTTTAAAAACAAACCCCATTTAAAATAAAATAGCATATTAGACTAGCCTATAGGCCTACTATAATAGCTGTTCTGCACTTTCTTTTTGTCAAATTAATAATAAAAAAAGTTTATATTTTCTTTTCTCTTGTTTTGAAGCCACAGTGATGCACGTTAGTTATTTTAAAGTGAGTTAACATTCCCTGTATCTCCACTGCAGACAGCACACACTCTTTACTGTCTCAGGAATAGCACAGGCAAATCACTCACAGTCGGGTGAAGATGTGAGGAAATATGTACGTTTACTCTGCATTAAGGGAGAGTCTGGGTGTGACAGTGTTTTGAAGTGAAAGTCAAAGCCTTTGTGCTTAAAGTTACCCCTGTGCTTGCTTGGTTTGCTTTCTGCCAAAAACGGCGGGATTTAAAGCAGTGACGTCACTGTAGCTTGGCCCCCACCCACTGAAGTTTTTCAACACCTACCTTTTTGGGTCGAAGGTCACATCACATGAACATATAGAAGTTGCAGAGTGTGAGATGATTTGTTCACAGCAGCAGTAACTTGTGTCAAAGTCAAAATATGAGTTTTAAAGTAAATTTATGTAAGATTTCAAGAGTTCTATCAATTACTAGTAATCAACTGCACTGCGCCATCTGGTGCTGTTGAGATAGAACTGCCTTCAGAAAGGTAAGGTTTGACAGTTAAAAACTGCAAGCAGGCCTAAATAAAAACTCTGTTGGGACCCATGAATGACGATTCCCAATATGTGAAAATTTAAAGTAGATGGCTGAGAGAAGGCATGTGGGCATTATTTGTATGTAATGATCTAGACCAGAAACCCCCAAATAGCACATTATTTAGAGGAGAAGAGTGCTGATGGGTCAGTTTACAATTGGGCTTTTGATTGGTCAGATCTGTAGTGATGTTACACATTGGTCAAATCTTTGTATGATGCCTCTGAAAATTCTGTTGTCAGTTGTATAAAATAAAACATAAATTAAATAGGCCTATAACATTTGACATGTTTTAAGTCTTAATATGAAACAATATTTTTTGTTAGCTGAAAAATGTTAGCTGGGCATATAGGCTAGGAGAAAGCATCTCAATAAATATAAACTGCTATGCATAGGTCTTCAATTATTAGGAAATGTTAAAAATAGTTTTAAATGAGATTCCACAGTGGAGATATGCTGACACTTCACATAGGATAGGATACTCACAACTCTCATGCATTTGATTTGGACGCCATCTAGCGTTCAAAAGATGCATATCGAGTAGGCTACTAATGACTTTCACTTTCATTCATTCAACGATTTCATATACAGTCAGAAAGACATTTAGGCAGACAAACAGACGATTGTAGTTTCAGAAACGCCCTTTCCTGGGAATTAACGGTACATTTTCCACAGAATAGGCTAACAAGGAAAATAATCTCCCACTGAATTCCCACTATTTTCTGTCAGATGGGGGAATTCCGTCTCAGTGTGGATGCTGGGAACGTCTCACTGAGATTCCAGGGAATCCCTAAAGGTGTTTATAAAGCTCTCGGAATGTTCTGTGATCAGAGTTCAGTGGGCTTTAGGGGAGATTCTCGTATCTGTAAAGAAACTTCTGTAAAGATCTCGATTCAAGGACGTGTTGATCCAGCCAAGGTGAGGCGACATTTTCTTTTAAAAATTAAAAGAAAGAACAAAAGAAAAATAATAATAATTGAAAAATTTTCTCTAACACAGAGACTTATCATAAAATAAAGGGGTGAATTCAAGGTTGATTGGGACACCTTTTCACTTTTTACATTTTTAAACTGGGGAGAGTGAGACCTAGAATAGTTATAACTCTGAGTCGGTTGTAACAGTCAGTTTAACCGCTTAGAAATTAGGTTGGGGGTTGAAATCAGGCCTTCATGACCACCATCCTCTTGAGGTGAGGGGGGAGTTGGAAGGAGTTGCGGGGCAAAAACGAATTCTGAGGTAAAAATTAGGCTATAGGCTACGTTTTACAACTGGTTGTTTATTTGATTTGCGATCATGTTAGTGGATGCTAAATTACTATAAAACATGAATCAGCAGATTTTGTTATTTATCTGGTATGTGTGTGTATTAATGGGAATATCTAAAAAAAAATTATAGCCTACAAATTGTTTTCTCTAAAATCATGAACACAATAAATCCACACACATACACTGAGAGTGAACAATGTTTTAAGGATGATGTGTTGATTTTAACTGTGTTCTCCGATCAAGAGTATTTTTCATAAATGTCAGAAACTGTCAATGGGGTACCCTTTCAAAAGGTATACACATTTGTGCATATTACCTTAAGTGTATAGCACCTAAATGGTACATATTTGAACCTTTTTAAAGGGTATGTCCCAGTGACAGCAGAGTTGTTTTAGCAGGTTAAGGGGCAAGTTGTCATTAATTTTACATGTTGTAATGGAATGAAATATATTCATTACAATTTCTTTGGGCCATATGTTGTGGAAGATGTATTTTAGATTGTTCGCATTATTCAGTAGCCTACTCCTCTCAAATTAGCAGCAACAAACAGAAGGAGACAATTGACCCCATTTGATGTGACAACATGCCCCACTATCACACTGTGCTGTACAGTGTGAATTGGGTCATATCTGTTTGACCTTTGATTTTTGAGCTACACGAATAAATGAACTTTTGCCCGCAATGATAAGAGCACAGACTTGTAAAATAGATCAAAATAAAGCAGCGTGTTCATTAGCCAGAGAGCTGATTCATGCAGTGAGCACAAGTGCGTCATGAGTGTCTGATCGCAACCATGTGTGGATGACAAAACACTCCGCTGGGCTGCGGCAGTGTGACCAGACTCCTTCGAGCTGAACAGCAACAACTTTATTATCCCCAAATGAGCTGGACGGCGAAGGTTTTATTTCCCTTACATGACACACGGCCAGACTCGGCAGTTTTGGTTAATTTCGGTGAGTCAAGCCTCGCGGACGGGAGAAGCCATGAAGATCTGCCCGTCTGGGTCACTGTAGGTGATTCACACGTGGAGCTCAAAGTACTCTGGAGTGTGTATGATTCAGAGTCATTGATTCACACACACTTCAGAATTTCATTATGCCGCGGACACAAAAAAAATCTTCACATCTCTTTTTGCTGTAAAATCTTTACTGATTTTTATGAAGTAAACATAAGAATAACTTTTATTTGAAGATGAACATCAACTGACCTTTTCTTTAGAAAAATCATGGGTAACACTTTACAATAAGGTTCATGTGTTAACTAACATGAACTAACCATGAGCAATCCATTTGTTACTGTATTTGTTAATCTTTGTTAATGTTAGTTAATAAAAATACAGCTGTTCATTGTTAGTTCATGGTAGTTCACGGTGTATATAATGTTAACAAGATTTTAATAGAGTAAATGTTGAAATTATCAAAGTTTAATACATGCTGTATACGTGCAGTTCATTATTAGTTCATGTTAACTAATGTAGTCAACTAATGTTAACTAACGAACCTTATTGTAAAGTGTTACGAAATCATGTTAAAATGTGAGTATCAAATATGACCCATCATTGTATTGAATTGCATTAGCATATGTTTTAAAATTACAGAGTTTTTATCATAAAAATAACTAATCATTGAAATATCATCTTGGCAAATATAGAATGGCAACTGAGGTGGGGGAGGTAATGGAAAGTTAAGAGCCATGGTGCTGCAATAGGCGTTTTTGGGTTTGTCAGTTTGTGCATGGATGGAGGTATTTCATGTGTGTAATGTGGGATGATCCATGTGGGATTTAGGGATGGGGTGTGTGGCACAGGAAGTGACTCACCTCACAGAGAAATTAGGCCAACAGTCTGACAATTATTATTATCATTAGCCTATAATTATTCAAACACTTACAGTAGGATCAGGATTAGAGTAGGATCTTTAAAGCATTAAAGAGATGTTAGATAAGCATGAGTAGCCGATCAGACAATCAGTAACACTTTACACTAAGGTTCCATTTGTTACCATCAGTTAACTATTAGTTAATATGAACTATATGAAAAATACTTTTAAAGTGTTTAATAATCTTAACAATAAGGGACACTTCACCCAAAAAAAAAAAAAAAAAATGTTAGCATTACTTACCCTCAAGTTGTGTGTGTGTGTGTGTGTGTGTGGGGGGGGGGGGGTGGGGTGGGGTGGGGGGAGAGGTTCAGTGGGAGAGGTTTGGAACAGCTTGAGGGTGAGTAGTAATCACAAAATTGTGTTTTTGGGTGAACTATCCCTTTAATATTAATTTCATCATTTACTAATGCATTATCAAAATCAAAAGTTGTATATGTGAATATTATTGGTAACACTTTACAGCAACGTCCCATGAGTTAACTTCAATTACGACTAAACATTTGTTACAGTAGCCTATTTATTAATCATTGTAAATGTTCTTGTTCATGTTAATTAAGGTCCATTAAATTATATTAACAGATACAACTTTTTATTTTAATAATTCATTATAGCCTAAATGTTAAAATTAACATAAATAAAGATTAATATTAATAAAAGATTAATAAATATATTATTTTTAATTGTCAGTCCATTTTACATAATGTTATTATTCACGCCTGGGAACAGTTGTAGCCAATTTTCTTTTTTATTAACTAACGTTCATATAGATTAATAAAAATGTAGGTTATGAGTCATGTGTCAAATGTAGGCTACATC